GCCTGTCCGAGAGTCCTCCAATCATAGCATCAGGTGAGGTACACAGCAGGGAGGTGCCTGCTTGACAAATGGTGGAGCTCCTGAGGAGATGACCCAGGACAGACCTGAGGTCGGAGAGGAATTGCCTGTGGATGCTGAGGACTACAGACGCCCTTGCAGATGGCAGAGCACTGATTATATGAAACTCCAGAATGCTACAGAGCTCTTCCAGAAGACTACAAAGGTAAATTTACTCAAGCAACTGGAAAGAGCTGGATGATGAAGTAGGACTAACATTCCACTGGGGGAGAAGAAACAAATGAGTCCTCAGACATCAATGCCTTTGTAGAGTACTGAAGGAGTTGAATAATAAAAGTAAAGGTCCTGGGGTAGAATGGCTCTGTTCTGAGGGATTTAAACATGGAAAGGCAGCAGTAGGAAGTCCTTTGGGACAAATGAGAGATGCCTGGTCCAGCTCAGGGAACAGAATAAGACATACATTTTTAGACATGGCAAATGTATAGATTATTTTGTTTCACAATACTCATTTGCTAAAAGGGTTATGTTTTTCTTTTTTTTGTGGGGAGGGTAGTATTTGAGGAGGTGAAAGAGAGCTATTTTCAGTGTTTACTCCCCACCCCCAAAGAGGATTTTTAAAGCATTTTTAATATGCACAAAAGAAAATTCTGAAGAAAACAGAAAAGCAAAACAGCTTTGAAAGTAACATGTTTAGTTTATCTTTTTTAAAAAAGCAAGCTGTAAATTAATCAATAGTTTCATATAAAATTCTTTTCCTGTTGTACTTATGTGTAGAATTACTTTTCATGTGTTCGTTAAATTTTTTAAAAAATTTTAAAAGTTGTAAAAAGCTTTTTTTAAAGTTTCTATAGACTAACAAAACATGTCTACTGAAATTTTAGGACTAAAATGATACAGATTTGTGGGTGCAAAAGAAAAAGTTTTGAACGAATTACCCACAAAAGAGCTGAAATCTACAACCAAGTAAATCTGAAGCCTTTGTGAAATTACTTGGGAATCATCAATTAATAAATAGGAAATCAAATATAACAAGGAACTTTAGAAGAGTTAATACAGATCCTTGGAGATAAATCTCCAATGGAATTTCAAGACTTTATATGGTTACTATGAGTAGCTGCACATTTTTCAGATGAGTTAAATTAGACTCTCTGAATATGAATAAGCTTTAGACTGTCTGCCCAGGTAATCTCTGTTAATGTTTTTCTGATTCTAATGTATCAAAAAAATTAACCTCCAGCTCAAATAAGAGTTTTAAGCATAATTTACTTAAACAATATTAGCAACCTATAAATGTTTTAATTGGTCTTAATATGATTCCTTTATAAGTCTAACAATGTCATGAAAATACGTATGAACTATTTGTGGTCAAGGACTCAAAATATGTAAAAATTCAGCCAGGCCATTTATCTCGAGACTTCAGAAAATGTCAAATTCCTCCATCTCCCATTTTGGAAAAAAAAATTAACCTGTTTTAATGAAAGCAAAATGTAGTTTAATGCAGTTTAATAGCTAATAAGTGGCTTGCTTTTCACAGTAACATCATATAAAATAAACCATAATCCCAAAGCACAGGATATAACATCATTCTCTCAGAAGGTAGGCAGGGGCCCCAGATTTGGAATAGAGTGAATACTGTTGGACTTGGTTGGTTCAGGATCACAAATCAAGAGTTAGAAAGGATCTAGACCAATCCCTTCATTTTATAATGAGGAAACCAGGGCCAGATGCTCCAATTCCAGAGTCAGTGGTCCTTTCGTTGCACTACATGGATTTTGTTGGTTGATTTTTCTTTTTTAAAAGAGAGAGTTCAGGGATAGGAGAATATACCAAAAAATGATTGTGAAGAAAACATTATTTTAAAAAAAGGACTGCATAATTTTTTAAAAAATACTTTGAAAAACCAAGCTCTGACTTAACTCTCCTCCATCTCTCATCTTAAGCCATAGTTAGCCATTTCAGCTCTCCTCGATCCTGAATCCTTTGCTGCCTCTGTATTACTGCCCCTCACCATAAGTTTACTTTCACCATCTGCCTCATCCACTCCTACACACATACTGCTAAATTCAATTCTCACAATCAGGACAGCCAGTCAACAAGCATTTGTCCCGAATTGTCTATTCCCATTGCTAAGTCTCTGGCTGAGATTGCCATTTCTTGAGGAGCTTCAGCAACAATCACCAGCTCAATTGCTCCCAGGCTGCTCCACCTCCTCAACAGCCCAGCAGACACCCACACAACAGAAATCTTTCCTCAGGCCTGGTCTGTCTTCTTCCCATCTGACTGTTCCTCATCACTCATAACATAACCTTTAATGGTGAGCCTCTCCAAAGGTTCTTTCCCAGGCTCATTGCTTTTCACTCTAGCTTGTTAATCATATCATTTTCCACAGGTTTAATTATCACTATTCAAAAGACCCATAGATCTATATATTCAGGCCCTGTCTCTTCTCTGAGCTTCAGTTCCCACATCATACTCCCTTACTTTAGTCAAGGGTGTTGAGGATCTCTGCAGGCTGCATATTCACTTAGAAAACCACATTATTAACATTATCTATGTTCTATTGTATTTTTATTAATTTTGTCAAATATTCCCAATTACATTTTAATCTGATTCAGGAGACACTCAAGAGTTTTGCTGACTGTGAGTTTGACCCCCTATGGTTAGGGCTTTATTCACACCACACCTGAGAGAAATGATTATTAATAACCAATGATTTGGGGATATCCGGAGTTTCCCTTTTTTCTATAGTCCTCATTTCAAAGTTCAGTCTCTTGAAGGACATTACTGATAATGACACTGAATTAACTCTCCTCAATCATGGTCAGACCCCACTCAAACTTACAAGGAATGTAATCTAAAGTGGGGAAGCCCATTGGGCTCTACTGGTTTGGAAGGGGATAAATTTTTTTTATTAGATTGTCCAAGGCTGGGGGTAATTTAGAAGTAAATGACATAATCAACGTTCATTAGAATAGGTCCCACCCTTCCTTGTAATATTTATTCTCTCTCATTACTTGTTAACCAATCAGAGTTGACTGCCACTCTCTGGACCACACACTTTTCCAAGGCTGTATAAGCCCTGAGCCTGCTGCCATGAGGTTCTTTGGCATTCCAGAGAACCACTGACTTCTTTTATTAAAGTGCTAGAATTATTAATAAAAGGACTAATTACCTAGAAATTATGTGTCTCAAATTTTTGAAATACCACACCCTAAATTGTTTCAACAGCAAACTAACTGGCATCCTGCCTCTTCTCTCACTACATGACTATCAAACTACTTTTCCTTAAGATCTGATCACATGATTCCCCTATTCAATTAACTCCAGAAGCTTCATATTGTCTTTAGGGTAAAATATTGGCTCTTTACATCCTTTAAATATAGCTTTTAAACTCCTTCATAACCTGGACCCAACCTATCTTTCCACACTCCCTTAGCATATGATCTAGTCAAACTGGCCCTTCTTACTCTCCCTCAAACACAACAATTACTCCATTGCACACAAGGATACTGCCATATGCAGGGCAGACAAGTGAGTCTAGCTGAAGCAGCAAGGCACTCTGACAAAGAGAGAAGAGGCAGGATGGGCCAGGCAAGTCAAACTACCACCCCCACCACCACCACCTTGACCAACATTTCCCTCTCAGACATTGATAATAGACAGCCCAGGATCCTGAACCCAAGAACCTAAGAGCCTGAAGAACAGCAATGCTTCTAGCTCAGTGCCCTCAGCTATCACCTGGGAAGCAACTAGGTGCCAGTCACAGCTACTAAAGACCCAGAAAAGAAAGTTCTTACCCCAGAGTCCTTGGCAATGTTAAATGGTTCAAAATCAAAAAGAGCTATGATTTTATCAGCCGAATACTGGTAGACACTAAAGAGGCATTACCATTTACCTTTCCCCCATCTGACTTGCAACTAAAACCTTCCACATGTTATCTGCTAACATTAGAATGTACAAGCTCTCTGAGAGCAAAGACTGTCCTACTGGTATCCCCAACACTTGGCAAAGTGCTTTGCACATAATAAGCACTTCAAAATAAGCTTCATTCATTCATCTCTCATGCCTTTACACTGTCCAACATGTCTGGAATACACTCTTAAAGCCCCTTTCTTCCAATAAGATGCAACTCAACCAGCATCTTCTGCATGCAGCTTTTCCTAGAAATGCTCCCTACAGCCAATGGTTTCCCTCCCAAACTATATTCTCATGTTACATACCTTTCATGTCTTAGCAGAGTAGGAGGCAAGTAAGGAGGACTACTCTGGTAGTGTATTTACACACACACACACACACACACACACACACACACACACTCTGGTATTTTTGCTTAACTGTGTATATTTGGTTTTGTTGCAACAAAAGGTTGAACTGCAGATGGAGAGAGGTATGCTTCCAAAATGATGGATATTGATCAAAAGGTTAAACTGATTTCAAAAAAGAAAAAAATTTAGAGGTACTAAGTATTCATCAAAAAATATTTATTTATGTATGATTGTTAGGCACCATGGTGATCTGGTAGCCAGTATCTGCTGAGTTGCATCTACTATTTAATGAATTTTACTATAGCAAGGTTCCAGTGTATTTGTATTAATATTTTAGTAAGTCCAGAAATACCAAAAGCATGGACCAAATATGGATACTTTTGGTTTTAGGATAAAAGTTTGTAAATATTAACAATATAAAATTATAAAGGTGACACGCTACTCCAGATATGTTTTAACCAACACAGAGTATGAGATTACTGCCTTTCTTACTCCAGATTTCATCCTTCAATTAATGCATTCTAACATTGCATTATTGCCTATTCACACTAACCCTTCATAAAAGGCTTAGAGAATACAAAACTAAAGCTCAGAATGATTTTTCCAACAGTATACAGTCAGTAACAGAACTAGGAATTCATTTTCCAAGTTCTTCACCCTTTGAGCTTTGTAATAAATTGATTAAATACAAACCTAAATCTTCTGTTATGTTATTACCTGGGAGATATGGTTGATGGAAGACTCCATTCTCCTAAGCTGAGAGGCTTGGATGTCCAGTAGTTGGAGCACATTGTTGGCCAATGCATTTATCTGATAAGCAACACTAGCTAAGGACTGGGTGGTGTAGGCTTTGGTCTCTTCTAGTGCTTTCCTTTTGTCTGGAGCCTGAAACATTAACAAACATACAAAAACGTTACTTAATAGATACTATGGGAAAGTCAAGTTACACATTTAATTATGTTGTGGGCACTAGGTGGCGCAGTGGATAGAGCACTGGCCCTGAAGTCAAGAGGACCTGAGTTCAAATCAGGCCTCAGATCAAATACTTGACACAATAGCTGTGTGACACTGGGCAAGTCACTTAACCCCAACTGCCTAAAAATTTAAAAAAATAAAATTAATTAATTATGTTGAAAAAAACCGTAACTAGTGGCCCCACAAAGCACATCAGAAAAAAAACTTAAATTTTGGTAACAATAACCATCTTCTGAAGTGGTATTCTGCATCAGAAGTGTAAAACATGCTGCCCACAACAATCCCAAGTGCAGCCTAAACCACATTAAAATGTAACTGGGAAATATTTTTAAAAATAAAAATTATAATAAAACATTTACAACATTACACTTTAATAGTACGTCAATATGTGTCCCACAGGGATCCTCATGTACAAATTAGTGATCCATTTCTGTCTGAATTTGATAGCACTGTTCTACATACATCTCTAACACAAGGAAAGTTTCACAACTCCCTTCCTTCCCCCTCCAAAATTAGCTGTCTTTAGTCTTACATTCCCAAGAGGGAAATTTCCTTTCCCTTTACAGTGAAATCACAGTACTCAGCAACAATCAAGAAGGGAAAATCATTTCCCCACAATTAAAATTTCCTACTGCATTGGCTATCTTTAAAAGCCTGCTCAATATATATATAAAATTTCAAAGCTTGTTCACAAACAAAATTAATGCAGTTCAAATTGCAAGGGAAATAGTTAACTGGGGGAAAACATTTACAGAAAGTTCTTCAAATAAAAGTGATATCTAAGATAAATACATACTAGTAAAAGTCATTCCATAGTCAAAAGATATGAACTCTTAGTTCACAAAAAGAAATCCAAATGAACAATAGACTTGAAAAAATTCTCCAAATTATTGAAAAATAAAAATAAAAATAAAAACATCTCTGAAGTTCTACCTCTCTCCCAACAAACTGGCAAAGATAACAAGAAAGGAAAATGCAGTTGTTGAAGGGGCCTAAGGATAACAGGTACAATAATATTCTGCTGGAGAAGTTGTGAAGTGGACCACCCACTCTTGAAAGCAATTTGAAAATATTCCCCAAAAGGCCCTGAATTATGCATACTCTTTGATCTAGTAATACCACGACTAACCCTATAGGCTACAGATCAAAGGAAAAAAGGACATCCACATTCTTTGGTTGTGCTGTTTTAATATTACTTGCAATAAATGGGTTATTGGCTAAGGATAAGAAATGTATCTGGTTACACAGAAATTTTGTATGTGGAAACATTCATCGTATTTGGTGCTAAATGTATTGAAATTTAAAAAGAAATAAACTCAACAACTATACCAAAAGTTTTACTCTTTGAGAGGGGAATAGTACATATATATGAATTTGAGGGGCTAGCAACAGGGTTACAAAAATAGGGGGGAAGAAAAAAGGTTACTAAAGAGTTATCAGAAAAAGAATACTGAATTTAGTCAGAAGACCTGGATTTTGATCAAAAACAGAAATAAATCAATTTAAGTCTAAGAGAATTACTATGCTGATCAGAAAACACATTTCTACCCTGTCTCATAAACCCACTCCTAGAGTTAACTCCACAATGTGGACAGTGTTCATAAAAGGAAAAAAAAAATCAATTTCCCTGAGATACTTATGGTTTAGCTAAGTTCCTAGTCCAATGTCACACAGCTAATTTGTAACAGGTCTGACCATGTCATCTCTCCCCAAGCCTCATTCCAATTCAATAAACTCAAGAGGCTCCTATTAGTTCCAGGATCAAATACGAAAGCCTCTTTTTTTCTATAACTCTCCTACCTTTCCACTCTTCTTACACCTTACTCACATTCCCACATACTCTGCAATCAAGCGACACTGGCCACCCTGCTTTTCCTCACACAAGAGACTCATCTACTGACTCAAAACATTTTTACTCACCTAGAATTCCCCATGCCCGGAATTCTCTCCCTATGAAATCCACCTTCTACAAGAAGCATTAATAATGGGGACTCTCAAAGCTCTGTTGATTATCTCCAGTTCATTCTGTACATGTCTTATTTGTACATGGTTATTAGAATTTGTTAACCCCCTTACAATGTAAGTCCATTGAGAGCAGATGTTTTTTGCCTTTCTTTATATCTCCAGTGATTAAAGCAAAGTGGCTAGCACACAGTAGGTGCTTAATAAAATCCTTGTTGATTGACATCATAAATCCTCCCAGCAGGCCCTTACCCTTTTTTTTCCCCCAGGCCCTTACTCTTAATGGCCTTGAAAAAATCCTGTAAATTTCCCAAGCAGGAAGGGGAGAAACAAAGAAGCAAATATACTCCAAAGAACTAAGCTTCTATACTTTGTTTCAGTTTTAGAGTTCTGGTCTCTGCCCTCAAACATTTTGAGCACTTTCCGACAACAGGTTGCAAACAAGCTTTCAAAAGCTAACACCATCAAAAAAGGCTACCTCTAGAAACTCAAGTTAGGTACAAACATCGGTCATAATTCAAGCAATATTTTTGGAGGCAAACAGAAAGAAAAATGCAAAACAACCACACCCAGTCACAGGTTACTCATATAACTTAATTCAACATATTCACTGAGCACCTAAACCATGCATTTCACTGTACCAGCCACCTCTGTGCTAGTGTCACAAACTAATGAGCATATTCACTGCCCAAATGAGCTTAAAGCATATTTTAGTTAGAAGGTAAAAACAAAGATAATATATCTCATTCAAAAGGCACAAAGGAAGCAGATTTCAAATAGCAGCAGGGCACACAGGCCAAATAATGGAACTAAATAAGAGCCCAGCCAAATCATGCAGATCCTGAAATGAAGGTTGTTGGAAGATATAAGATATCTTAAATATATATATGCGTATGTGTGTGTATAAGGGCAGCGCTTGACAAAAACCAATTTGGCAATACAATGGAAGACAGCTTGGAGCAGGACCAATCAAACAACAAGCAAGTTGTTAGAAAGTTATTAAAATAGTTCCAATAAGACACAGCAAGAACTAGGGTATCAATAGTGAAAAAAAGATTAAGTGTGAATGGATGCAAGAAAACCTCAGTGAATGGTGTGCCGGCGAGACGGTACTATACTGGATTTGAGGAAGCCTGGTATGTGAATCTCAGTTCCAAGGCAAACTTCCTGTGTCAGCTTGGGCAAGTGACATAATGTCTCTAGGTCTCACTTTCTTCATCATGACAACGAGAGGGGTGGACATGATCTCTAAGGTCCTGCTGCATTTCAGAAATAGCTTTCAAACAGCACTTGCTGGCTGTGGTTTTAGCAATCACATCCACCAGTTCTTTCAGTACTTTAGCATGAAGTTCCACTAGGCAAGACGATCTTAATTTATCAAGAGCAGCTAAGTGCTTTCTCCTTAGGACCAACTCCCCATTTGCTATTTTGTTATATTCTTTCTAATACAAAGGTCATTCTCCTCCACAGAGAAAAGAGGCAAAATAAGAACTAAGCAATTCTGGGGTCAATTATTGCTCCATTTCCCCTCTGACAGCACTCCTGGCCTTCTTTGGTCTTTTCCCCAAAATAGTTTCAAGGGGGAAAAAAACCCCAAACATTTTTGTTATTAGTTTTTCTTGCCAGCTTCAGACGATAGAATTTTAGTATTCCCGTGACTCCTTTGAGGGCCATACCAAGCTTTTGCATTCATTCTGTGTTACCTTCCCTTGCTGCCATCTTTTGTACATATTGTTAGGTTAGCTTCTTAATTTGTTTCCTGTCTTGAGGACATTAGGACTCTTAAAGGAGAGACACCAAAGGACTGGAGAAAGCCAAGTGTCCCAGTTTTCAAAGAAGGTGCAAACTTAACTTTGTGAGCTATAATTCCTGGGAACATTTCAGGGATATATTATAGATGAAATGATCAGTGACATCTAGAAAAGTGGTGATTACACAAAACCAGAATGGCTTCCTCAAGAACAGGTCATGCCAAGCTATACTCATTTCCTTTTTTAGAAAAGGTTATTATTAAACTTGTTAATAACAGAATTGGTGTATAGTTAACCTACATCTTAGCAAAACTTTAGATACAATAACTCATACTAGTTGTGTGGAAGACTGATAGGCTAGCATATCCTATGATAGTACAGTTAAATGAATTCAGAATTGGTTGAATGTCTGGACTCAAAGATGTCATTAATTAAAAGGGCTCCAGTGGTACCAATCCTCTGATGACTTTGCCCACAAAATTTTAGTCTATAGGATCTTACTACCTAGGCTTCTTCTGAACCCTCTAAAGCTATTCCCCCAAATTCTAGGGTGTATGTCAAATTATGCTCCATTTTCTTCTCCTCTATTACAAGCCCTAATAAATGAGTAAATAATAAATGAGTGGTAAGGAAACAGGCGGCAATTGTGGTCAATTCTTTTAGTAAGAGACAGTGAAGGGGATGAGAAAACTATGACAGTGGTAAGGGCTAAGGGGAGAATTTTATGATAGGTGAAAATTTTGAAGATATAAAAAACTAGACAGTAACTAATAAAGCAAAGACCAGGATAGACATGGAAAGGATGGAGAAAGAAATGCTGCTCTATGAAGGAGAGATTGAATGAAAAGAAATTTTGGAGGCAAAGAAGTTGAAAGAGTTCACTTCTGATGTGCACAATATCAAAAAAGTAAAGAATGATGTCTTTAGAGAGAGACGGAGGCGGGTAGGGATGGCTGGGGAGCCATGTATACTTTCCCTTGACACATGAAATAGCTCATTAGTACCAGTCTTATTTTCCAACCATTATTAAAGCTAGTTTGTCTTATTTTCTTTTTTTCCTTTGGGAAGATGGGAGCCAGAGGGACTGGGGAACTTGGGGGGCTCAAAAATGGAATAAAGCATAAAGATTTAGATTTTCCTGAAGTATTTAAGCAAGAATAAAAAGACAGGACAAAAGAGGAATGAATTAAAGAGTAT